GCAATATTTAAATATCAATAGATCAACTTACCATTTTGGAATGACATGTGCCTCGTCTGTAACTACTGCAAATAGATGTTCGTGGTAGATCGAACTTTGCAGCATTTCTTGCCATTTCTCGTTCATGATAATACTCTCTGGATTGGCAAAAACAAATGAATATTTGCCGTATAGTACACCACTCTTGTCTTGACATGCTTGTTCACCAGACACACAAGCACACAAAATTCCTTGTTTACTTAATTCGTTCATGTGCGACTCAATCAGTGCGACAAGTGGACATATTACCAACACTATTGCATTCTCCGGGAAACTATTATACCCCATGAAATTAAGACCCCACTGTATTGAAAAGCCCATTGTTAGTGACATGTTTGATGATAATTATTTTTTCCCGCTAAAACCCAGAGTCCCACATATGACTGACCCGAAAAAGTGAGGTGTAGACTTATAGTTTAGGTCAAATATAAAGGTTCTGTTTTCAGAGATAAAATATGAATATACATAATATAGATATATATATTTATAGTGTCTGTTTTCTTTTTTCATGATTCAGTTTATCATGGCCTAGCCGCAGTAAGCGAGATTGTATTCCTGTTGAGCAAGTTATAGATGAAATTGATGTTGATGCTAGCGATGTAAGCCTAGATGGCCCAAGTGATGAGTCGGATAGAGATGAAGTGTATGACCCAGGTAATATTGATAATTTAGAGAGTAGTGACTCTGAAAGTGACCATGAACACTTATCAGAAGTGAGTGACAAATCCAGTGGTGATGATGATGTACCTCTCGCACAAATATTGGCCAGCGCCACAAAGGGAAAACCAAGACAAAATATACATGGAGAAAAAAAGATTTCGTAGCACCCCAAGATCAATTTCAGGGTGAAATAGTTGAACCAACCGATCCAACTGGAATAACAGAGACACCCTTATTTTACTTCAAGCGCTTTGTGACACAAGAAATGATAGAACTGATAGTGGATTATACTAACAGATACAGTGTCCAAAAGCAGGGTAAATGTGTAAATAACCTGCAAAAGAAATTGAACAAGTACTGGGCATGTACTTCAAAATGGGCCTTGTTGAGATGCCTTCAATACGGATGTACTGGGAAAAAGAAATCAGATACCCTCCAGTTACAGAAGTTATGAGCAGGAATAGATTCCAGCTACTTCTTTCTCTGATTCATTTTGTGGACTATGATATATATATTATATATATATCTATGATATATATATGATATATATATGATATATAATATATATATATATATAATATATATATGATATATAATATATATATGATATATAATATATATATATATATAATATATATATGATATATAATATATATATGATATATAATATATATATGATATATATATATATGATATATATATGATATATATATCTATGATATCTATATCTATGATATCTATATCTATGATATCTATATCTATGATATCTATATCTATGATATCTATATCTATGATATCTATATCTATGATATCTATATCTATGATATATATATGACATATTTAATATAACGACACGCATAAGGGGTTATGGAAGTGTGGGACAACTGCTCTATATACTGTATTTTTTAACTGCAAAGAGCTGGGTGTTGAGCGGTTCCCAGGGCATATAATCGTATTGAAAAGCTGGATCTTGGGGAAAGTCGATTAGGACATATACTGATTTGCAGCTGGGTCCTAATCTGCCCAAGACATATACTTTTACCACACAAATTTTGAGCTGGGTCCTGAGTTGGCTAGAACATATACTCGATTTAGAGCTGGGTCCTAGCCTGCCCTGCAAGACATATACTCTGAGCTGGGCCCTGGGAAAAAATGATCAGGGAAATGTTTCTTAGAACACTGATCTGGCTCAGCACATATACTCATATGCAGAAATAGAGTGATTTTTGTAAATGGGAATTGGCTGTCAGCCAGGTTGCCAAATTCCGTAAAGAAAACGTGAGGTCTGTGGTAAAATTGCGACCTCATACTAGAGCAATTGCCTCCACAATCACACAATGATAGTGTGTGTGATCCCCATAGACCGACAAACAACGATTGAGTGTTTATCTCATTTTGCAATCGTTTTGAAACGTCTGTAAGGACATTGATTGGCATGCGAATATATCTGAGGTAACAATCGGAAGACCATCTTCCTTGCGTTTGAATAAGCCAATGAGGCAAACCTTGGGACGCAGCTGTGGTAGCCGCTTCGATTCTAAAACTGTGGCCTGCATAGTGAGCAGGGTGATGACCACCTTGGGCCAAACGTGTTCGTAGTTCCTTAGTAAATTGACTATGTGATAAAGGAACACCGTTTGAGTAGCAAAACAATGGTCCCGTATAGTCGGTTGGCGCACATGAAAGGTAGGTTTGAAGGGCCCTTACTGGCCCAAAGAATGCTATGGAAATCACTGCCCAAATCATGGTTTCATCATGTGTTGGTGATGTCTGTGAGTGTAAGATGCGGTGAAACAATTTCAAATGGTCTAATGTAATTGGTAGGCGTGTTATAGACTCTCCTTTTACTCGCTTTATACCTCACAAAATATAGTATAGGCGTTGAAATTTGGTGATTTGAAGGTCGTAGCTGTTAACCAAATGCATATGGCATACTGCTGCAAGATAGACTTTGATGGTGTCTGGACTTACCGTCTTAGTGAGAAAAACAGCAAAGTAAATCTGAATGTTTTCCGTTGTTGGCAGAAGAGGCACATGCTTATGTAAATGAAATTGATAGTAGAAATTCATAAACTGTTTTTCGCCACTGCTATAAGTTTTAATCGTACCTTGAGCTAACGAAGCAAGTTGATAATGACGTAAGTCAGCGTCTAGAGACGAGAAAGTTCCTCTGGTAGAGGTTGATGGTCTGCATGCGGTGCTAGCTGCCGAAATCTGGTTTGCTGAAAACGGGAGATAGAATCAGCAATGTCATTATAATTACCTGGCACATGTAAGGCTTTGAAATAAAAGTCATACTTCAGTGTTTGTAAGGTTAAAGCACGCACTAAGTCCATAATACGAGGGCTTTTTGAACGTTTGGAATTGATTATGGAAACCACTGCCTCGTTATCGCAGTAAAACACAATTCGTTTTTGAGCCCATAAAGGTGCCCATATGTAGGAAGCTACCACAATAGCATAGAGCTCTTGCCAATCAATGCTGATATTTTTTGTGGTAAGTGTTTGGTGAGGCAACCATTTACCCTGAAACCACTGGGTGCGAAAAATTCCCCAAAACCAAAGGTCCCGGAGGCATCCGTATAGAGAGAAAGGTTTGTAGAATTTTCCCAGAAAGAGTTGAACTTGTCCCATTCCAATCATTAAGAAAAAGTTGCCACATTTTTACATCTTCACAAAAACCATTCGTCAAGCGAATGTGATGTGGTTTGGAGACACCCCGTGTTAGATTTATGATATGTTGCAGAAAAGCTCGACCCGGGGCAATTACTTTGCATGCAAAATTTAATGTGCCAATTAGGTGCTTGGAGCTCTTGGAGTGTAGCTGACTTTTTGTGTGCCACAAATTTAAATCAACAAATAGACGGTTAAATTTATCGGATGGAAGACGAGCCTCCATCTTTTGTGAGTCAATGATAATGCCTAGAAATTCTATAATGAGACTGGGTCCTTCAATTTTATGTTCTGCAATAGGAACACCTAACGTGCGGAATGTTAACAACATGATAGAAAGGCTAGTTTGGCGTGCTTGAGAAGGCAGCCCAGTTTGGGCCGGTGGTTCGATGATGAGAAAATTGTATAGAATGTGCCCAACATAGCTTATAAAACACTTGTTGAGTAAAATCCACTCAAGTGCATCCGAAAGTTGATTGAAAATATACGGCACACTACGCAGACCAAAATAATAGGACTTGTTCCAATATATGCCTAATAACTCCCAGTCGTCAGAATGAACAGGGAATTGACGAAAAGCAGATTCTATGTCAGTTTTAGCTAGATAAGTGCCTCTGCCTAATCGGATTAAAGCCGCAATTGCGTCGTCGATTTTTATGTACTGCAATGAAAAGTCGTCTTTCTCGATAAAGGAATAGATTGATTCTCCAGTTTTTGGAAACGAGAGGTGAAAAATGGTTCGAAATTTATCTGAATGCTTTTTAGGTACAATGCCAATCGGCGAAACCTGTAAATTAGCAAATGGGGGATTGGTGAAAGGACCAGCTGTGTGGCCAAGAGCAACTTCCTTAGCTAAGTTAGTTGAAACAATAGTTGGATTGTCAATGGCAGACTTGAGGTTTTTCGAAAATTTGGACATGCGAGGACCATCGTAACCTAGACGAGCACCGAAACACAAGTCTGAATAGAGTTTCAAAACGAATGATGAATCGGGATGCCCACAAAGAGCATCTTCAAGCGCATCAACGCGAATTGGCGTAACTATAGTATTATCTA